GAACTCGGAGTTTAATAGGGAACCATTATATTTTAGGGACATGTTGTCTCCGTTACTACCTAGAAGTTCTCAAACTGCCCTGCTGCTCCAGTTTCTCTTTACTGCACCTGGCTACTCCATTCTTCCCTTTTCAGTGCCCAAAAAAAAAGGAAGAAGAGGGGGGAAAGGGAGGGGAAAGGGAGGGGGAAAGGGAGGGAAAGGGAGGGGAAAGGGGAGAAGGAAAAAAGAGGGAGCGGGGAGGTGGGTAAAGGGAAAGAGAGAGGGGGAAAGGAGAAAAGGAAGACCAAAAGAAAGAAAAGGAAGAACAGAGAGAGGGAGGGAGGGACGGATGAGTGTCTAACTTACACAGAGTAAAAAGGTGGCTTCAAAAATTTGGTAGGTTTGACTATATTCATTGCCCTTTGCCTTACTACTCAGCAAATGTCTTGGAGACCATAAGTGCCCTGTGAGTGACTAGTTCACACCTCTTTTCAGGCCTCTGCCTTCAGAAGTTACAAGATGATCAATTTAACCTCCACACAGCCTCCAGATGAATCCTGCTCTAAGAACCTCCTGATCACTCAGCAGATCATTCCCGTGCTGTACTGTGCGGTCTTCATTGCGGGAATCCTACTCAATGGAGTGTCAGGATGGATATTCTTTTATGTGCCCAGCTCCAAGAGTTTCATCATCTATCTCAAGAACATTGTTATTGCTGACTTTGTGATGAGCCTGACTTTTCCTTTCAAGATCCTTAATGACTCAGGCCTTGGCCCCTGGCAGCTGAATGTGTTTGTGTGCAGGGTCTCTGCCGTGCTCTTCTACGTCAACATGTACGTCAGCATTGTGTTCTTTGGGCTCATCAGCTTTGACAGATATTATAAAATTGTAAAGCCTCTTTGGACTTCTTTCATCCAGTCAGTGAGTTACAGCAAACTCCTGTCAGTGATAGTATGGATGCTCATGCTCCTCCTTGCTGTTCCAAATATTATTCTGACCAACCAGAGTGTTAGGGAGGTTACAAATATAAAATGTATAGAACTGAAAAGTGAACTGGGACGGAAGTGGCACACAGCATCAAACTACATCTTCGTGGGCATCTTCTGGATTGTGTTTCTTTTGTTAATCGTCTTCTATACTGCTATCACAAAGAAGATCTTTAAGTCCCACCTTAAGTCAAGTCGGAATTCCACTTCAGTCAAAAAGAAATCTAGCCGCAACATATTCAGCATCGTGTTCGTGTTTTTTGTCTGTTTTGTACCTTACCATATTGCCAGAATCCCCTACACAAAGAGTCAGACCGAAGCTCATTACAGCTGCCAGTCAAAAGAAATCTTGCGGTATATGAAAGAATTCACTCTGCTACTATCTGCTGCAAATGTATGCTTGGACCCTATTATTTATTTCTTTCTATGCCAGCCATTTAGGGAAATCTTATGTAAGAAATTGCACATCCCATTAAAAGCTCAGAATGACCTAGATATTTCCAGAACCAAAAGAGGAAATACAACACTTGAAAGCATAGATACTTTGTGAGTTCCTACCCTCTTCCAAATAAAGACCACATGTGCATGTTGTCATCTTCAATTACATAAGATAAATAAATATGTGCCCTCATCATAAGTATTATCTCTAGCACTGCCATCCAATTTAGTTCAATAAAATTCAAATATAAGTTTCCATGTTTTGTAACATCAAAGAGAACACATCCATCCGTAATTTCTCTAATACTGACCTTTCTATTCTCTATTAATAAAAAATTAATACACACAATTATTCAATTCTATTATATTAAAATAAGTTTAAGTTTATAACCACTAGTCTGGTCAGTTAATGTAGAAATTTATATAGTAAATAAAACAGGACATAATCAAAGACAACTCACTCAGGCATCTTCTTTCTCTAAACACCAGAATCTAGCATGTAATTCTTTTCAACACTGTGCTTAAAGACTAACTTGAAAGCAGACACAGTTTGATGAAGGGCTAGAGGGCTATTTGCAATAAAAAGTCAACTTTTTTTCCTGATTTGAAGAAGCAGGATAAGCACACACCCAGAAAATCACCTAAGAAACCCCTCATTGATTTACTTCATGGCACTGCAAAGGAAAAGGAATATTAATTGTATACTTAGCAAGAAAATTTTTTTTTCTGAGAGCACTTTGAGGACACTAGATACATGCTAAATACGTTTTCTACAAAGACTTATGCCATTTAATAAGCCTGGGGTTCTGGCATTAAAATTTTTTTTTTTTGAGACGGAGTCTCACTCTGTCACCCAGGCTGGAGTGCAGTGGCGCAATCTCGGCTCACTGCAACCTCCGTCTCCTGGGTTCAAGCGATTCTCCTGCCTTAGACTCCTGAGTAGCTGGGAGTACAGGTGCGTGCCACCATGCCCAGATAATTTTTTTTGTATTTTTAGTAGAGATGGGGTTTCACCACGTTAGCCAGGATGGTCTTAATCTCCTGACCTCGTGATCCACCCGCCTGGACCTCCCAAAGTGCTGCGATTACAGGAGTGAGCCACCACGCCCAACCTAGAATATTTTTAAGTAGGCTTTACTGAGAGAAACTAAATATTGACATATGTTATTAGCAACTTCCCCTGTTCAATAGTATGGGAAAAATAAGATGACTGGGAAAAAGACACACCCACACCCTAGAACATATGTTATTCTGTTGGCAAATGGGAAAGGAGGTCATTTTCTTAGAAAGCAAATAAACTTGATTTTTTTTATCTAAAATTTACATTAATGCGTGCAAAATAACACATAAAAAGAAAATTCACACATCACATTTTTCTGGAAAACAGATGGATTTTACATCTAGAGACATGGCATATGGTTACTGGCTTATAAGAGCTACCAAAACTAAATTCTTTCTCTGCTATTAACTGGCTAGAAGACACTCATCCATGTTTCAAATGTTCTTTCAAAACATTTTTATAAGTAATGTTTGTATCTATTTCATGCTTTACTGTCTATATACTAATAAAGAAATTTAATACTGTCTATTTTTTTAATAATCAACATGAGGAAACATTACCAGATTTCCTCATAGTCAGGACATACGTAGTTTCTTTATATGCTCAATTATGCATATAAATTATGCATATGTATTATGCTAATACAAGGGAGGCAGTTACATAGAGAATTCAAAAATTCTATCTGCCACTTACTTTTCAGAATAAGTACTCCGGATAGGGCATGGTGGCTCACACCTGTACTCCCAACACTTTGGGAGGCAAAGGTGGGCAGATCACTTAAGTCCAGGAGTTCAAGACCAGGCTGGGCAACATGGCAAAACTCTTGTCTCTACAAAAAAATAAAATTAGCCAGGCTTGGTGGTGTACGCCTACAGCCCCAGTTACTGGGGAGACTGAGGTGGTGATCACCTGGGCCCAAGAGGCAGAGGTTGAAGTGAGCCATGATTGTGCTGCTGTACTCCAGCCTGGGCAACAGAGCAAGACCATATGTCAAAAAAAGAAACAAAAGTACTTCATATGCCCTATAACCTCATCAATATTTTAGGCAAAACTCAGAAAAAAATACCCTAAATTGAGGAAAAGCTGGACAGGTTTTTTTTTTTCCCCTCAGTATCTACTTTCCACCGCCCTAACAGTTCCCAATTCTGGGTCAATCAGACTCTCTCAAAAAATAAAAAACGAAAATTGCCATGCTATCACAAACGTGCTTGGTAAACTAAGCTTGCTATAATTGTTTATCTGACTACATCTGTTTAAAAAAAAAAAAAAAAAAGAGGCTGTGTTTATTCTTTACAACTTACATTGGCCAGGACAAATGAGTAAATACCAGGGTTTTAAATGCCCCCTACTGGGCCATTGTAAAAAGTGAAAGTGAAAAAGAGAAGATGCCTTTGTAAGCACGTGCTAAAGCAGAATAGCAATGCAAAAGTAATATTTTTCAGGAAACAACATGCAATGCAGTTAAGGAGATGGTGAAGCAACAGTTGAGTAATAGTTACTGCCTATTAGAACTTTCAGGTCCAGAGTAACAACTAAAAACCAAGTGGCAGAGCACCAGCAATAATAAATTAACCCAGCAACTTCCCTGAGATCACTAGCACTAGTGTAGGTGGGCAACAGTGAACACTTGCAGGGTCCTTTTGTAGATAAAGCTACAGTGCAGGCATGCCAGTGTTCAGGGTGCCCACTGAGGCTTACAACTCAGGTGCCTGCAGAAGGCACTGTAAACACGGCTGTAAGGAAACAGGGGAAGCTAATGATGATGGTGTGCTGAGAGCCTTTGCCTCACCAAGAGAGGTCAAAGGGCTCTCAGCTCTAGTCAATTATCTCCTCATTTTTCAAGATATGAAAAGTCACAAAGTTTTTACATTGCTGGGGCACCAATGAAAAGAAAATACACCTGCAGACAGAATATGCCACTGGCTACTCTGTAACATGTGGAATGCAGAAATCTCACAGAAAAGTATTCAAAAGTCACTCATGACGACTAAAAATTTCCCTTTAACAGGATCCTTAATTTCATTTTGATGCATAAGTGATTCGACAACTACCTATACAAAATGTTTTAAGGTTTTTTTTATAAAAGGAATATTTGAGATAAGAGTAATCAAGAAACAGATCATAGAAAGATCATAATCATATAAAAAGATTACACATTGACATCTACCCAGAGGTGGGTGAACCCTGCAACGGTCTTTTACAAAATGTTGTCATGACTAGTGCTCATTCGCTGGTCATCTTCAGCCTACGTCTTCTTTTCCCAGAAACAGAAGCAAAATTTTTCCTTTGGGAAAGTCATTTTGTCCTGTTCTCAACCATGCAGCTATCATATGCAGCTGACCCCATCCCCTACACAAGGGGCCAGCCATAACTGACTCTAGGCAATCAACATGTCTGATTCCACTGGCCACAAGTTGGGATGGAACATGATCCAATTTGACCTAATGAGAGCAAGTTCTAGGTTTCTGAAAAAATTATCTGAAGGGTGTGCCACAAAGATACAAAGTCTAGAAGCACTTCTTTCATCTGGCTACCATAAGAAGAGAGCCTAGAGCACCCTATGAGTTGAAACTGACACCATGGAAGGCACACTGAAGACATGCTACAAACTCAGTCCTGGTTACAAAGCTGAGTGCCTGCATCAGTCTTCATGTAAAACCATACCCACAGCCAATAAGCCCAATTTTAATTGGTTTCTTTTCTCTTTCTTTCTTTCTTTTGGCAACTACAAATGAGAAACTCGTGATACACTGGTTTTATCTAACAGAGTAATCTAAAGAGTTCAGAAATTCTAGAAAACACCCTCACACAAAGCTGTGCTTCTGCTTGACGATGTTAGTCATGTATGTGTCATTAGTTCTGTGTTCTATCCTTAACCCTATCGTTGCCATCTATATCTTTTAACTCTGGAGAAAAAGTATGAATAAATACAACAAATATCTGTAACATCAAGAGATAATATTACACAAATTACAAATATAACAGATCACTCCCCAGAATGCCATGGGATTTCTTTTGGGTAAGCAGCACTGTGAGGGTTTGTGTATTTGGTACTGTGTGGTCTTCAACGGTAAAAGCCATTACTTCCTTTTGGTCACTATCTTCCGCAAGACTCTAATGGCATGTGGATTACCGTTTCATGACAAGACATCCCCGTCAAAAGAACCACTTTAGCAAAATGTCATTTTCCTTTCCCACAGGTCACTTTTCAAAATGTTTTAACCACTTTATAGTACTGCTTGTACAAAATGATTAAATGTCGTATTAATTTCTCTGCAGTAAATATATGTGATAAATGTTACATGTAAATCAGCTACAAAAAAGAAACAAAAAAGTGCTTCCCAAAGCGGTCTCAAGATTTTTAGGAAATAAGAGATATTACTGCATTCCTATCTTCCCCTGCTTCAATATAAGTTGGGTGTAAACATGAAAGGGGTGTTACAAAAATAGGTCCACCTCAATAAACAGCAAAATATATGACAGGTATTCTCACTGATAAAGTTTATAAGACTACTTGTTACTTTTTGAAGGTGTTAATTGTATGATTCTATGGCTTCTCTCATGGTCGCAGTCATAGCCACTAGCCACTTCACTTCACTTCCTAAACATTGTATCATGTGTTTTTGGGGACCTGCAACACAGGACTTAAGACCAGGGAGTAAATTTGTTCTTTATCAGCCTCCAGGTGTCACCAGCCTTAACTCTCATGGTATCAGCATGGCAAGGGAAACCCACACCTGCACTACTTCTCCCTTCTCTCCCAAATCCCCCATCATTTGATGACCAGCTAAACCTGCCCCAAAAGTGTGTGACAAAGGGCTTACTTTCCTATCATTCCATTTCCTGACATAAATGAACACCAAGAAAACATAGCCTCATCATATCGTACAATATTACATTACTTAAATTCTTGATTTTCTATTTTCTTTTCTTGAGATAGAGTCTCGCTCTTGTTCCCCAAGCTGGACTGCAGTGGCCTGATCTCAGCTCACTGCAACCTCCACCTCCAGGGTTCGATTCTCCTGCCTCAGCCTCTCGAGTAGCTGAGATTACATGTACTCGCCACCATGCCTGGCTAATTTTTGTGTTTTTAGTAAAGATGGGGTTTCACCATGTTTGTCAGGTTGGTCTCAAACTCCTGACCTCCGGTGATCCATCCACCTTGGTCTCCCAAAGTGCTGAGATGACAGGCGTGAGCGCCCGGCCTCAATGTTCTATTTTCTAAGCTAAAAGAGTCTCTATATTTAACTTGCAGGTTTTTCCAAGCTGTTATGTTGTACTTTCAACCATTATCTTTCTAAAGGAATACCAGCTCTCTGTGCTATCATATTGCCTGCATGAGGACGTAATCCTTATAAAAGCCAATTTCAACTCCACATCAAATTCACTTTCTTGTTAAGAAAAACATGCAACTATAAAAAAAAAAAATTGTCATGGCCAAGTGTAGTTCTTATCTAATAGTATGAAAGTAGGTGAAAAATAAGAAAAATTCTCTTATTTTAAGTAAGAAAACCAACATCAATACCATTCAAAATAAGAGCTCCTTAAGTGTTTACAAAGTACATTTAGAATGTTTTGGTTAATGACAGATAAAGCTCTGAGAAACATTTAAAACCTAAATGAAAAACAATAAAATAAAAATCTAAGTTATATCAAATAGAAACTCTGTAAGTCAATAAACCAAATTCACCTTTCTACATGACCAATCTGCCTCTCTCTCCTCAGACTTCCTTTCCCAGGACTAAAACTTCAGTCTCCTCTTCTCCCTCTCTACCCTCCACTGCAGTGATTTTACTTCTGCAGTGGTTCTCAGCTATTCCTCCCTTCCCATGTAATTTCAGATCCTTATTGCTTCTCACTTAAAATGACTGCAATCATTCCTTAACTGGTTTCTCATCTTCCACTTTCTCTCCTAACCAAGCAAACTCCAATGCTGGCAGATTTACCTAACATTGCTGAATTGACAGCTCCTTCCCTTGTATAGCCATGAGCTCTCCAGTGCTTACTTTATTAAAATCCCAGGGAGCATCCAAGATTTTGTCTCAATCTTTTCCTCACAGAGACACCTAAGCCCCTAAATTGCCTGACAGTCCCCCAAAAAAATTTCTCATACTCCAATTATCTGTGTCATCCCTCAAGCATACCACCTTGTAGCTCATTCTGAAGAAGCTCCCGTTCACCCTACCACAGTCTGGAGCATTACACTTCCCGGATTCCCACAGGTTCTAACAGCACATAGCAGGTGATAAGATTCCTTATCACTCCTTTACAAAGCATAAAATATTCTCCAGGATAAGAGCTCAGGAGGCAGCCTGCAATCAATACATATTTGCTGTTATAATTTTTCATAAATACTTGATCAAGAAATATTCACATGGCTGGGTGCAGTGGTGTGCACCTGTAGTCCTAGTTACTCAGGAGGCTGATGCAAGAGGATTGCTTGAGCCAAGGAGTTTGGGACTGTAGCAGGCTATGATTAGACCTCTGAATAACCACTGCACTGCAGCCTGGGCAACATAAGATGACCCTGTCTTAAAAAAAAAAAAAAAAAAAAAAATTACATGGCTAGGAAAAGGGAGACGTTCTCCAAAGAACATTCTCTTGGAAAGTAACTAACGAGTTTTTAAAATGTGTTCTGTGTTTTGAAAATGTGTTAGTCATAAGTTCATAAGAAATGGACCATAAACAATCAAATGAGGAAAAAAAGCATGAAATTCAGTGACCAAAAAGAAACATGATCATCTTTAAACGTTCTTTATTATGAATTTCCCCTCCATAAATTATTTTATAACCATGGACCAAATAGCAGTCACACCTTACAACCAAAAGGCAAAATGAAATGTTGATGCAGTAACATCAATAAAAAGGCAGACAACCAAAAGGACTGTCAAGGGGAAATGACAGGGTAATGTACCCAGCCATTCTTTTAACTGAGTTCACATTCCAAGAATGTGCAAAAACAACCTTTGCCTTCAAATCATTTCCAAACATGTATTCTCCATTTCACTAAAGAGAAAAAAACAAGGCAGAATTTAAGTAATACAGAAACAGTAACATGGAAACCGTATGTCTACATTTCACTTTAAAACTACACTGCCTATTCACAACAGTCACTCTCAGATTTAAAGCTACCAATCTCGGAGCACGGAAAAAAATCTTCGGGCTAATCCAGGTGGGAAAGAGAATTATGTGCAAAAAAAAAAAAATTATTTTCTTTCAAAACATAACCCTGAAGCACAACAGCTGCAGAGATAGGGCTGAATTTGGAGTTGCACAGGCTGTGGCAGAAATGACTGATCATAAAAATCTTTCAGATACAAACTATTTTGATGTAAGAGCATCCTAAATTCACATTCCGGAGGCTGAAAACTCCATCAGGAAGGTTAGAACTGTGGTACACTGAGTGTTCTACCACCCAATGGCATGCAAATTCAAATGGTTACAAATACTAAATGGGAAGGGGCCTGGACTGACCTGATGGCCTCCATTGTAATCACTGTCCCTAACACTTTCATTGTAAGAAGCATAATTAAGAGCTGGGATGCCAGGGTCTAACTGTGCAGGTTTGAGCGGGCCTTAATTTCTCTGCACCACAGTTTCCCCATCTGTAAGAGGCAGAATCTCCTGCATCTCATGGCTTGTTTGTTTTAACAAAAACAAGTCCTCAGTCCTGTGCGCCTGGCTGTGGCAGTGACCATCAACCCCAACATTCGCTTTCCCCTTCCTCACTAGTTCCAAATGGCTTCCATGCTACACTGAAAAAGCACATTTTAAAAACGCTAAATATTCAAAGAAAATATTTCTACTGAAATACTGTTGTTTGGTATTTGTGTTCAATAAAATCAAAAGCACGTTTTGTATGGATAGGAGAGACTAGAGAAAATATTTTCTTTCTTAATAACTTGGAGGACAACTTAGCTTTAATTTTTATTTTACACATACAAAATATCCATGAAATACTCATAAGTAATGAACAGATTATTTATTAAACAAACAGCACTGCCATGACCAAGGTAAGGGAAAAATAACTTCGCCTCACTTCTTCCCGCTTGGGGGCGTGTTAGTGATGACATGCAACTTCCTGGAACACTAAATACAGTCACAAACACTTGTCCTCAATGAAACAGATAGAAAAAGTGGCTTCTAGAAAATCAAATGAAACTCGTATAAAAAAATGAAAAATACACGTATTTCCACTGTGAATAAACTTCCACACAAAGCCAGGTTGCCCAAGCTCATTCTCAAGAGGAGGAATATGATTCATCTCTCCATTAAAAGATTAATTCTCACTATTCTAAAAATTAAATATAACTCTGAGAACAAGGGCACTTTAGTGCTTTCACATTTGGCAATCCAGACACAGAAACTGTGGCCTGAGTAGATTTTTAAGTACGATTGTTTGTACTTTTCAATTTTGTCTACAACTTTAAAGTGAACCAGGGAAGTAAACATATAAAGAGACCTACCTTAAAAAAGCAAAACAAACTCTGTCAAAAATCTTTCATCCCCGTTTTTCTCCATGCCATGGTAAAATCATTCACCACTGTTTGCAGTCAACTGCACCCATCTCTAAATTCTCTCCCTTTCACCCCCTCTACCCTCCAGTGAATGTAAGCCCTGATCACTTCTCACTTACTTGTCTGCAAATATGTCTTTTCTACAAGTATGTTCTTCAGTGAGTCCTGTACAACACTGAAGCATACATATCTTAAAAGAAAGATCCTTTCCTAGCACTATGATGATGAAGTTCACAGTGGTTCTTAACATAAAATGTTTGAGAAACATTTGCTTTTTCCCTCCTACTTTATAATTTATGGTCCTCACTGGCAAAAATAATAATTAAATGAATTTGGGGGGATGTCAGAATACCTGAAACGTGACCAATATCATCATAAGCATCTTTACATTTTTTTCAAAAGTCTCCGTAGGCTTTCCCTAAATTCTCCCTAGCTAGATACTTCTCATTTCATCTTTTGAGAGATTTTTCTTTTTAAAAACTAATACCAAGGGATTAATTTTAGATCCTGGAAAGGTATCTTCTTTTTTCTTATCTAGAAAACTGACCAAGTATTATTAAAAGAAACCAAAGCACCTACCAAGCCAACAAAGCATTAGAAGAAACCAGACCCTAACTAACCAGGCAATGGCTTTGCATTTACACATCAACTTCGAACCAGAAAATGTAAAACTCTTGAAAATATGTTTGTTAGGTTCCCCACTGTGCTAGCCTTCTTTCAAACATTCAACAAACACTTGTTCAGCCACAGACACAATGAACATTTAACCAAACAACTTAAATACACACTGTAGGGTTCCTTTACACACAATCTATTAATTACTAAATACTATTTCAATCCATTAAGCTGTTTGAGTCAAACAGACAAATACTAACTACAAGCCTAATCTCATAAATTGAAAATATATACAATATATTCTTCAATGAAAAATTACAAACTACAAAATAGTAGGAATAACATTTAAGTGGAAATAATCATAGAAAAAATTTAAAACTTATGTACCAAAAATATTAACAGTAATTATCTCTCTGCATGTTCCTTTTTTATTTCTATTTCCAGATTTTTCTATAATGAACACAAAATAACATAAATAAAACATACATTAGCAGACTCCGTAAAATACATTTTTGTTTACTTTTTTTTAATAATAGGTGTCTCAGCAGGTATTAAACAGCGCAACTATTTTTTCAATTTTAACTTTGAAATGCTGTGTTACTATGTATACTGAAGAAATAATTGCATAAACACCTTATATCTTTAATTATTAATCCCCATCAAGGCATAAAGAGTGATATTCTTTGAAATCATTATGACACAGAACACATCTTGGATACTTTAAAAAAAGGTTAGGTACTAAAATAGACAAATGAAGATCTTTTCTCTAAAAAATATGACAAGTAAATTGCTTAAGAAAGCATACATGAAATTGTATATATTTAAAAAACTTCTTTAGGAGAACTTCATAAAGTTAAACTACTTGCAAACCACAGTTTCATCTACGTCAATATGCAACATTTTAAAACCACACAAAAAGGAAAGGAAATTTTTAGTAAAGCCAGCAGCCTGCAATGGGGCTGCTACTGCTGCGGCTAACCAAACAGCTCCTGCTTCTCTGAAGACTTGCAGCAAGGTCTGCTGAGGCTCACGGAAGATAGCCCCAGGTATGTCTTTTTAAACACTTAATATACTCAAATGCTTTTCCATGGAAAACAAAATTGTGATTTTCAGTATTTAAGGCTTATAAGTAGAAAAAGCCAAGCTGTATAAGAAAGCATCAATTTTTAGGACCTCTAAATAGGTCCTAGCTGTGAATGACACTATAATTTTCTTGTATCTGATGAACCCATTCATCTGTCTCCAAAAGACAGGATAACTGACACCAGATTGAATACCTGAGCGAGCATAACTATTCAGTAACTCAGTGTTATAACTGAGTGGATAGAGGCCATGTTGTAGATCTTCACAACGGGAACAACAGGCTTTAAGATGACTTTCCTCTACAAACATTACAATAGGTGATTTCAAGAAAATTCCACTGCAACTCCCATAGAAAATCTAATAAACTTTTATTTTGTTTTTCTTTTGTTTTGTTTTTGAGGAGTCTCGCATTTTCACCCAGGCTGGAGAGCAGTGGTATGATCTCGGCTCACTGCAACCTCCACATACTGGGTTCAAGCGATTCTCCCGCCTCAGCCTCCTGAGTAGCTGGGATTACAGGTGCCCGCCACCGCCTGTAATGGTGGTGGCTAGTTTTTGTATTTTTAGTAGAAACAGGGTTTCACCATGTTGACCAGGCTGGTCTCAAATTCCTGACCTCAAGTGATCCACCCACCTCGGCCCCCCAAAGTGCTGGGATTACAGGCATAAGCCATGTGCCCAGCCAGTTTATTTATTTTCTAAGCAATGGGCACTCTATCCAAACTACAAAGACAGTTAAAATCTTGTATTGTTGTTGTTGGACTACCTCTGAGTATCTCACATTTTCACTGGTAAGTAACTGTCTCGTAAAATATTTAATAAGCACTTAATTCTCAAACTTGTGACACAGAACACAGGATGTTATTATACAATAGTTTAACCTCTAATTTACATAAGCAAAAATTTTAAATAAACAGATTTGTTTTTCACTGCAATTTAGAAAAAAGTTCATAAACACAAATGTGAGAAATGTGAGATGTTCCATGATTCTTGAGAATTATTGAATGATTAGTTATTCATTTCAAATAAATTATTCATGTACGGTGAATACGTATAGTCAGTTCTAGTTACAGAGAAAATTAATAAAAAGAAATTACTCTAATTCTTCTCTTTACCATATAAGTCTCATTGACACAATAATCTTATTTTATAGTTGTATAAGCAATGGAGCACTTAAAGAAACACATTATGTTACTATTATTATGTAATATTTGAAATAAAAGTGCATAAGCCAAAATCCTAGGGCCTTAGAAAGTAACAATAAGCAAAGATGTGACACAATATCAATGCACACCAATACTAATTTTTCACATAAAGAAGAAAAGTATGTTCAAAATTCCAAGGTGCAAATAAATGGTAACTATCAAAATTCATGGTCGCCAAGGACATCAGTAAAGCCTGGAGTAGCTTTCAGATGTGAGAAGCTTCCTGAAGGCTCTGGAATAAGCAGGATTCAGGAATAGTAAGGATAAAGACAGAGAGCTTAGACGATCACCAGTAAGAGCAGATCCTAGTTCTGCCTGAACATGCTGTGAAAGCTTGAGGAACACACCAGTGCCAGCCCTCAATCTCCTCAACTGACTTGGGGATTAGACTACAGGCTATCAATAAAGTTTCCATCCATCCTTAAAATCCTATGACTCCAAAATTTCTATCACATGCAAAAGTATAAAGGCAGGAAGGAACTGTACACAGAACAGTAGAGACCCCACCAATCCCAATCTTAATCTGGGATTAAGAGATAGTAGACATGGTAGAGAGAAACTAGGTTATGGAAGCTTTGAGAGCAAAGTTGGTTTAAACTTATTGGATAGGGCCTAGGTTTTGTTTTTAAATGTGTGTGTGTGTGTGTGTGTGTGTGTACGGTGTGCATGTGCATGGCTGTATGCATAAAACATCAAAATACATGAAAAGCCTAAACTTATTTTCTTAGTATTTTGGTAAAAAGTTAAAAATGAATAGTTTATTTCAGCTTTATTACATAAAAATTGTTTAGAACATAGCTCCTGCCCACATAGTAAGCCCTTAGTAAAGCCTGGCAGATATAATCATCATCATCATCATTACTATCATCATCTTACTATTGTTATTGAGGCAGTGTTTTGGAGTGGTTTTGAATGTGATTCTGAGATCAGACTGACTGAGTTGGAATCCTGGCTTTGTATCTTACCAGTTACGTAACCTCAGGTAAGTAACCCCATTATGCCTCAGTTTCCTCATCTATAAAGCAGGGACAATAACAACACCTAGCTTATGGAAATGATAAGAAGTTAAATAAGTACATGTAAAGTATTTGGCATAATGCCAGACACAAACCAACTGCTTAATTATTTTCATCAAGTTTGGTAAAGAATTACATTATTCATGGACTCTAACATGCTAACTCAGGTAGGGAAAGAGAAAGGGCATGTAGCCTTTAAGCAGCACTTGAATTTAGAAAGCTTTGTGTACATCTGCCTTATTCATCTGTTTGCATACATTGTTTCATTACAAATGCACACAAAGGATCATTAACTAATTGGGGAAATTAAAATTTAGAAAGACGTCAGAAGTTTTATTCTCTTATTAAAGGGCGCTTACAGAGTAGCTGATCTGGCCTTCTATGTTGGTCACTATAACTTACTATTTGCTACTTTTAAAAAGGTTATATTATAGCATAAAATTTTTTCTTGCTAAAATACAAAAATAATCTTGAGGTCTTTAAAACAAAAGAACATTGTTTAATATGCAAAAGGAGGACCCACACCAACAGGCAGCACCAGAAAGGTTACTAATGTACCCTTAGCTCTAAGCATGTGAGTTTGAATAGACCAGGTCAAAGGGAGCCCTATCAGTTTAACTAAACCCACTCAATGTTCCAGATTTGGGAGGGACATGACAAGACTTCACTGTCATTATCAGTGGCGATCACAGTAGTTCTAAGGTTATGTCTTATGCTTCTGGGCTTTTAACTGCTTCAAAACCCACAATGAAAGAAAAAAAAAAAAAAAACTCAAGTGTTGAAGTCACATGTTTTGATACTAATATAAATAAATCTTTCTCCAAGGATTTTGTAATGAATGAACTTACAAACTTACATCCATGTTCTGGTAACTGTGGTTTTGTGTGTGTGTGTGTTTTGTTTTTTGTTTTTTTTTTTGAGACAGAGTCTCACGACCAGGCTGGAGACAATTTTCCATCAACTCCTTACTTCCCCGGTCAGCTTGTGTTCTCCCAGCCTTAGGAGCTACATGAATCTATGGAAAACAAAAAACAAAACAAGAAAAAAAGCCTCTTCAGGCCCAACCACAACCCTAGTTTCCTCTCTCTACTTCTCAGAATCTCAGTTCACTTATCTCCTCTGCAAACTAACTTCCAACCCAACTGGTAACAAGAACTACCGGAATGGAAAAACCTGAGGTTGAAAATATCCCTACCAAAAGCAAACCTGCATGGGATTTCCTGAAAGTCACAAAATCAGACAATGGAAAACCCAGGCATCTTCACAATCTAGTATGTTCTCACCAGGCCACATGGTCTGGCAAGTTCACCACTAAAATTCTAAAAACTAGAAATACAATGGTATTATGAAGACAAATGTCTTTTAAAGAAAATAGCTGCTAATTTTAATTACTAACCTCCCTTTCCTTGTTTATTTTACAGAGTCTTAGAAGTCATCCTTACTTTCCCTCAAGATGACAAACAGTTCGTTCTTTTGCCCAGTTTATAAAGATCTGGAGCCATTCACATATTTTTTTTATTTAGTTTTCCTTGTTGGAATTATTGGAAGTTGTTTTGCAACCTGGGCTTTTATACAGAAGAATACGAATCACAGGTGTGTGAGCATCTACTTAATTAATTTGCTTACAGCTGATTTCCTGCTTACTCTGGCATTACCGGTGAAAATTGTTGTTGACTTGGGTGTGGCACCTTGGAAACTGAAGATATTCCACTGCCAAGTAACAGCCTGCCTCATCTATATCAATATGTACTTATCAATTATCTTCTTAGCATTTGTCAGCATTGATCGCTGTCTTCAGTTGACACACAGCTGCAAGATCTACCGAATACAAGAACCTGGATTTGCCAAAATGATATCAACGGTTGTGTGGCTAATGGTCCTTCTTATAATGGTGCCAAATATGATGATTCCCATCAAAGACATCAAGGAAAAGTCAAATGTGGGTTGTATGGAGTTTAAAAAGGAATTTGGAAGAAATTGGCATTTGCTGACAAATTTCATATGTGTAGCAATATTTTTAAATTTCTCAGTCATCATTTTAATATCCAATTGCCTTGTAATTCGACAGCTCTACAGAAACAAAGATAATGAAAATTATCCAAATGTGAAAAAGGCTCTCATCAACATACTTTTAGTGACCACGGGCTACATCATATGCTTTGTTCCTTACCACATTGTCCGAATCCCATACACCCTCAGCCAGACAGAAGTCATAACTGATTGCTCAACCAGGATTTCACTCTTCAAAGCCAAAGAGGCTACACTGCTCCTGGCTGTGTCGAACCTGTGCTTTGATCCTATCCTGTACTATCATCTCTCAAAAGCATTTCGCTCAAAGGTCACTGAGACTTTTGCCTCACCTAAAGAGACCAAGGCTCAGAAAGAAAACTTGAGATGTGAAAATAATGCATAAAAGACAGCATTTTTTGTGCTACCAATTCTGCCTTACTGGACCGTAAAATTAAATACAGCTTTGAAAGAGAGAGAGAAAAAAAAAGTAAGAAAAAATACAATTAGCTAGCAAATATGGACAGGTTTACTTAGAAATCCTGTTTCTAAATGCAAGTCAAGCTTTATTGTTAGGCTTGTTGCTACTCATTAACCCAAATATTTGTACAAAAAACTAAAGAGTCTCATTGAACGAATGTAAAATCCTGCAATATCCTTGAAATCCAAAAGAGGCCCATGACATAGACCCAAAGGTATTCATGAGTTATTCATTTAAATACCTGGAACTGACTTCTTGATAAAAATATAAAAAATAATTTCCATGTAAGTTACCAGAAAGCTCACCAGCAACTTAATTTTAAAGCCTTTCAGATTACTTTAAAAAATGCAGCTTACATAAAACTACTTATGCCTATTTTATTTCTAATCCATCACTTCAAAAGATGGTAGTCTTTCAGCTCATTACTCCTTCATTTTTTAATGTCTCATTTTTTTCTAACACAATCAAAAACTTTTATTTATAAAAAGTCTTGAAAAATATAGACAATCTTTAATGTATTATTTGTACTTATATTCTATCTATAGGTTACAATAAAGGCTTCCTGATGTTAGTAATAATAAATTTAGTGACTTCTCATTTCTATTTTGAATAATACGAAACAGAGACCCTAGAATATTTCAGAGGGAGTTAAGTTATACTAATTACTGAAACTAGTGTTTTTGGAACTAGAAAATCACATCGATAGCACATCAATGGTAAAACAGCACCAGTCAGATGGTCTTTATAAAACAGATACACTGACTTCACATAGCAAGGCCATGTTAGGAATGTAGCATGGGCTGAGCTACTTAGCGCTGCCCAGGTCCAGAAAGATGAGCCTGACTCCATGTAGGGCCCCAGTTTAAAGTACAGGTGACTCCAGCCGGGTGTGGTGGCTCACATACTTTGGGAGGCTGAGGTGGGCGGATCACTTGAGGTCAAGGGTTAGAGATTAGCCTGGCCAACATGGTGAAACCCCGTCTCTACTAAAAATACAAAATTTAGCCTTGCGTGATAGTGCATGCCTGTAATCCCAGCTACTCGGGAGGCTGAGGCAGGAGAATCACTTAAACCTGGGAGACAGAGGTTGCATTGAGCTAAGATTGCCCCACTGCACTCCAGCCTGGGCAAAAAGAGTGAGACTCTGTCTCAAAAATCAATCAATCAATCAATCAATCAATCAATAACGATAAAGTATAAGGTGACTCCAGCTCTCAGAGTCACAACTCTGATAAAATTCTCTCCACTGCTGGTGATGCAGAAAGAATATACAGCATTAAATAAAAGACTTGTTAGGAAAAAGAATATTGGAAAAATTTAGATAACCATACATGATGACTTTGTGTTTTTTATTTCATTAGTAAAATAAGCCCATATAAAAACAGCTGGTAAATCCATTTGCATTAGCTGCAATGATTAAAAAATGGTGTTCCTGGAAGCTAGGAAAACGAGTTTGATTCCAAACTCATTTTTGCATTTCACAAATTATTTTCTAAAGCTTGAAAATCCTATCTACAATTCCAAAAATATATTCTGACTCTGAAGTGAATAATAAATGAGAAAATACATAAAGTGCCTATTATAAAACATACAACAAGATAACGCTATACAATTCTAGGTAGCTAATGGCAATGACAGAAACTCCAGCAGGCTCACACATCTGACACAGTGTAAATGACTTACCTCAGCTGCAGGCTGATAGAATGCCTATCCACTAGAACCTGTGTTTGCTGGTAGTCTAGGAAACATGGTTCACTAATGGGCAGATCAAGTATTATTCACAGAATAGCATCATGAAACTACTATATTTTTCTGAATCTTTGGTCAAGCCTCCTTTAATCCTCTTCTCCTTGGTCTTCACTTAGTAGGGCCCCATATGAGATACGGGGAGATAGAAAACACTTTTCTTAACTATATTTTTATAGTTTCCTTACATGCATGAGAAGCTAGTCAGATTTTCTCTCTTCATTAAGGGAAAAATAACAGACAGTAGCATTCCTAATGTCAGTGTTATATTAGCATATCCTTTGGCTTCTTCTGAATTGCACTCATGGTAACAGGGAGTTCAGGGCAACCAGTGGTGGAAAGCTATTAAAAAATGTATCCTACAATATCAGTTGTCTAGCAGTTCTTTCACAAATTGTTATAGTTAAATTATCTCATGATTCATTATGACACATGGTCACTGAAAATCATTTAAGCTCTTTCTTCCAAGGAAGCAGAATGTTAAATGCAGGGAAAGGCTGTAAAACCAAGGTCACGGGAACAACAGAATAAAGAAGCTGAGGCTTAGGGTCCTGCTCTGACACCCAGACACCTGGGAGAGAGACCTGCAAAGCTCCGTTTACCCAAGAAAGGAACACATAGCCCTCAACCATTCAACCAGTTTCAACCCTTTTCAACATTTTGCCGTCTTTGCTTAATTTATCATCCCCCCCTTTATTCTTTCTTTTAAATAAATTTGTATTTCCAATTTACAGAGAAGTTGCAAAATAGTACACAGAGTTCCATACCCATTCAGCCAGTTTCCTCTAATGTAAATGACTTAAGAGAACCACAGTACATTTGTTGAAACTAAGAAGTTAACATTGGTATATTACTATTAAATAAACTCTGGATGTTAATATCATCTCCCTTTTTTACCCTGAATATTTTAAAAACAAATCCCAGACATGATAGTTCATCTATAAATTCTTTAGGATACATCTCTAAAATATAAGGCTACTCTTTCTGCTCCCCTAAATAAACTGTGAGGTTATTCCATTATAATGTAAATGAATAATGTCTATAGGTAACAGTTGAAAATTATAGATATTATTCAGGCAGTGATAAATGACATCCCTGGACATAGAAAAATTAACAAAACACGGATTGTTAATTGTAATAAGGAAAAAAATATGGGTTTGATAATTTGACAAGTTTTGAAATGGCCCTGGACATAGAAAAATTACAAAAAAAGAGACTTTTAATGGTAATAAGAAAAAAATATATGGGTTTGGTAATTTTGAAAGTCATTTCAGGAGATATTCCAAAATACCAAAAAAAATAAATAAATAAACAAACAAACAGAATACTTAGTTTTGCAGATCAAAACTCCTCGAAGATACCCAGGAAATAACATAATACACCTACATTTACTTTTGTTTGTTTGTTTTGAGACAGAGTCTCGATCTGTTGCCCAGATTGGAGTGCAGGGGTGATCTCGGCTAGCTGCAAGGTCCGCCTCCCGGGTTCACGCCATTCTCCTGCCTCAGCCTCCCGAGTAGCTGGGACTACAGGCACCCACCACCACGCCTGGCTAATGTTTTATATTTTTAGCAGATACAGGGTTTCACCATGTTAGCCAGAATGGTCTCGATCTCCTGACCTCGTAATCTGCCCACCTCGGCCTCCCAAAGTGTTGGGATTATAGGCGTGAGCCGCACTCCTGACCCAATTATGCTTTTTATATGTAAAAGTAACACTCAATGAAAAAAAATGACTCACTGAAATTGCGCTTAAAATAAAAATCCAGAAAAAAAGTGAGTGAACCCAAGAATAAACTTTTTTCAAATTTTGACCCAATTTTTATTTCTAATATTAAGAAATCAATTTTGTTACCCTTTAGAATAAAGCACATCACTTTGCTAAGACTCAAACGGTAAACTTCCTGCCAAGCATTTCCCATTTGCTATACAATTCTTAAATTCAACCAGTCCAAATCCGAGCCTATCTTGTACAAGCCTCTATGAAGTCTTACCCAATTTTTCAACTAAAATGCTCTAGTTCTCTCCAATACTCATTCTTTGAGAGTGGAAGGTGCCCAGAAATATCAACTGGCTCACCTTCCAGTGAGAATTTGAGTTTTTACTCAATTATTGCACATATTTGAGAGCTTGCCATTTATAGTTGTTTGTCTCCCATTTTTCCTATGCCTCACAATTCTTACTGACTAGAAGTACCTACCGTAATACAGTGTACATAAAAGTTACTCAGTAAATTTTCTTTCAAATTAAAACACATTTAGGCCTGGCACAGTGGCTCACACCTGTAATCCCAGCACTCTGAGAGGCCGAGGCGGGCGTATCACCTGAGGTCAGGAGTTTGAGACCAGCCTGCCCAAAATGGTGAAACCCTGTCTCTACTAAAAATACAAAACATTAGCCAGGCATGGTGGTGGGTGCCTGTAATTCCAGCTACTAGGGAGGCTGAAGCAGGAGAATCACTTGAACCTAGGAGGCAGAGATTGTGGTGAGCCAAGATCGCATCACTGTACTCCAGCCTGGGCAACAGAAGCAGAACTCCATCCCAAAAAAAAAGGAAAGAAAAAAAAAACACATTTAGACATCACCTCCAGTGACTCAAATGCTCTTTAATAAAAGGATACTAATATAGAAAATTTCATTTTCTAAACCTAATTAGCCACTAATATCACTACAAATTTGGACAACATCAGTACATAAGCTTAAGATCAGAATTAGAACAGAGGCAGGAGCAAATGCAAAAAATTCACCTGCTATCATTATGTATTAGTCAAGAAAATAGTTGAATAATCTGACATTCAACAGTTATTGATCTTATAATAAAATAATCAGGGTGTAGATTAACTGAAGCAATGACTTACCAGAGGTATAGGAAAATGTGTTGCATACTGTAAGTGGCGAAGGAGGTCGTAATTAGATGGAAAAATTAATTCCCTTGGCTTTTCCCTCTTCACCAACTTCTCACAATTAACTGACATTCTTCTGCCCAAGGAAGTGTTGGCATTCTCACAGGACTCTCCAGGCATAGGAGAAAAAATCTAAGTCATGTAAAACAAATGTTGGAGTTTGTAAATGAAAGCAAGCAAAACCAAACCACAGTGCTACATACCAAAACACACATATAACACACTTATACACCTTTTCCTACTTCACCACTGAGCAAAAAATATGAAGAAATTTTGTTAATTTCCACAAAATTCATATTCAGATCAGTACGAATCTGTGATCAACCCCTCCATTTTGTAGATGAGAAAATAACAACCACACACATAAGAAATGTGTCTACACTACCTGGAAAGCTAAAGATAAAAGCAGAATTATGGGTAAGCGTTTTCCTCATAGGGCTACATTTCCTACAGAAACATATACATAATAATAAACTAGTAAGACTAATGAATAATAGACATAAAGATTTTGGTCTGTACTCCAAACAGTATTTTTTTAAAGTTATATATTGTGATTCATGAGGAAGAACACATTACAATTATACTGAAATAAAGTAGAAGGATGTATAATAAGCCCAAAGCCACCAAAGCTATTATATAGAAGCTGAAGATACACATAGCAAATCAACATGGACTGCCATGGTGAAACTACATTCACACATTAATGAGATGATGATGACCTCAAAATGAACAAAAGAGTCAGACAGCCAACTAGGAGGACAGGAGTGTTAGAATTCACAGAGTAGGCCACGCAACCAAAACTGAGGATGACCCAATTGTGTCAGATGATAATTGTACCAAAGGAGGAATATGGTAAGATTACATAACACAAACGCACAAGTCATTCTGAGAAACAGAAGGATCGAGACAGGCTGGGATGGGGGTGGGTTAATTCTTAACCGTCAATAAGAATCAAAGATTGAACCTACTGGAAATTCCGAACCAAAGTCAGTTTTAAAGTCACTCTTGTCTACTTCATCAAAAATGTTAGTGGTTCCTGAGTCAATGCCCATATGCGCCATAATACTCTGTTCCTGATAATCGCCAGAGAAAGAAAGTAACATAGTAAGTTTTGGAGTTCATCAAGAAACTGAAGCTAAAACATGACAGTGGGATTTTTAACCATCTCTGTCTTTTGTTCCCCATATTGTTTTCTTCCCCGCAAACTCAAGGAAGCTTTAAGACATGCCTTGCTTTGAACAGTCACATTCTTTTCCCTCATGATGAGAAAATTTAACTTCCATGATATTTTAAGAGAAGAGCA